CATGAGTTAAACTTAAAAAGAAAAAGTATTATGTCTTTCATCTATATAATAAAAGCTAATGACAGTGTGTCACTATGTCACTCTTTTTCAACTTTACTCTAAGAGAACGTAGCCCAACATATTATACCATTTTTGGAATCAGGCCCTGTGAGCAAATTAAAAATATTCTCGGTTGGATCAGGACCCGCAGTCCTGAAATTTTGCATCCCCAAGTTTTCATTATTGCGCATGTTTTCAGAATCCACCATCTTGGCTTCTACTGATAAAAATAATTAAAGGCACACAATTCTCTCACTTTCAATAGCTCATGCTCAAATGAAAAAAAAATTACTGTTCTCAAATTACAGTATTTCAAAATAAAATTGTCTGTGTTGTAAACTTTACTCCTAGAGGCCGTAGCCCAATATATCATACCATTTTAGAATCAGGTTGACTCCGTGAGCAAATTAAAAAGTTTCCGGGTTGGATCCAGACCCCAAATCCTGAAATTTTGGATTCCCAAGTTTCTATTATTGCGATTGTTTTCGACAATTTTTTATGTGATTTTTTGCGACGAATTTTTTGTACGAGAGCAATTTTTTATAATTTGGAAATAAATGTGAGAATAATGGAAATTAATTGCGACATACAGCGAAAGACACCCATAAAATAAAAATAACTGTTTCTACGGAAAGTAAGGATCTGCGTACATCAAATTTTCTTCAAATTAAATGGCGTCAAAAGAATTATCGTTGATCTTTTGAAAGGTAAGCTTAAATATTCATGCAATACTTAAATGCAGCGATCAATCTTAAGTTCTTCTGTAGTTTATTGTTGCCTATCACATCTACTCTTCCCTATCTGTTGTGATGAAGGCCCAATCAAGAGCCCTTCGCAGGAGCTAGCTTAAATGCCGCCTGATAGGGCAGCTTTTAAGATAGTTTAATATAAATATCTTCCTTTTTATTCCTTTGAGTTTTATTCTTTTTAGTTAATTCTTTCATTCGTTTTTTAAATTTTTTTTTTTCAGTTGTGCTCCAATGTTGCGCCAAAAATGGAAGTGGGTGGGGAAATGCTCACATTTACAGAAACTCACCCCCATTTCCACACAAAACAAATGAGCAGCTGTCATAATTTTTGGATTTAGATTCCCCTTTGCTCAAAATACTGGATCCGTCCATGGTAGATACATTACTAAGTTAATAACTTAATGACGAAAAGAAAAAGTTTATTTTACGCATATTTCCTAGCATAATTTCCTCAATTTTAAACGCACTTAAATAGTGAATTAACTATATCGAATAATATACAGTGAAAATTTCAAATCAAAATTAAAATAACTGGCATATACCATAACGTATAAGACACCAAACGTAAATAATAAATCTGATGTCGACCAGGTCCCTGATCATTTTGAACTTTTAATAATATAACTTCGTGTAAGATATTCGACAAATCAAAAATGAAAATATATTTATTCAAAATATAGCATATTTACTTCGAGAAATGTTAACTTTATACGGGAAACTTTCCACGACGATAATTTTTAATACAAAGATTAAAATATGTTTTTAAAAGAAATTCGTCCAACTTATTCGACAGCTGTAGAAAAACTAAAAAGTAAATAAAACCAGATTTATTCAAAATATTTATTCGAAGTCATATATGGTTATATTTAGAATAAATCTGTTTTCATTTCCAGAGAAGATAACTTTCAACTACTTTCAACCCATCTATAATTTCAATGCAAAGATTAATATGTCTTTACAAGAAATTCGTCGACAGTTGTAGGAAGACTTTAAATTATCAGAGGATCTGCGATGAAAGCTTTTCATTATTCCTTACATTGTGTATAAAATGTTTCATTTTTGTTTTATTTGTGAGTTTTAACCGTAACGTTTGCTGCCAATCTGTTTGATTTATTTATTTGTAAAGAAATTGCAGAAATTCGGGCGGAAGTGGTTGCTTTGACAAAATTCGAATTCGAGTTGTTCGAAGACTATTACTAATTTCTTTGTGATTAGGAAGTTTTGTCAGAGACAAAAAATTAATATTTATATATATATATATAGAAGAATAAAATAAAATAAAAATGACCTACAAACTGACTCAGAACACTAAAGAACTAAGCAAACACTAAAAATCTCAAGAGAAACAATTGGCAACACATGGCTATAAGCAAGTGTTGGAATTTAATTTGAGAACAATATTTTATAAGTTCATATTCTAGCTATTTTTCTATCCTCACTCCAACCGCTCTTTTTACTCTCAAAACCGGCTCCCAAAGCCTTGATTCTTATCAGTGATAAGAATATATTTTCTGACTAATGAGAGAGTTGGAATATATAAAAAAGGAATTCCACCACCATTATTCTTTCCATGGTGCCATAAAGTCTGGGGGAAACCTCACAGCTTGTTCACTCCAACCTGTTTTCATTACTCTCAAAATCGGCTCCCAAAGCCTTGATTCTTATCAGAGATAAGTTTTCTGACCAATGAAGAAGCCAAGAAATTTGTACAACGATTTTGGAGGGAAAAGTCTCCAATCTTTCTGAGCCTCCCAAATCTCCATGGAGAATCTTCGCCTATTTAGCAGTGAGAATTCAGCCCTCCGTCTTATTTGATAAAGTCCATAAACCCTGTGTCTATATGAGATATGTGGACGATACTTTTTCCATCTTTGATTGCTTTTATAGATGCCACAAATTTTCTGGCTCAACTCACTTCTCTCCATTCTTCCCTTAAGTTTACAACGGAGATTAAAAAGGATAGAGTTCTCCCTTTTTTGGGTGTCCTCGTTGAACGCAAGGATGGGGCTTTCGTCACTAATGTTTTTCGTAAGCCCACATTCACTGGTCTCTATACGAACTGGAACTCGTTTGTTCCTAAGTCTCGCAAGATTGGTCTGATTTCGACTTTGGTCCATCGTGCTGTCATGATCTGTTCCCCCTGAAATGTTGGATGGTGAACTTACTAAAATTCGAAATATTTTCGAAAGTAGTAGATATCCCATCAATGTTATCAGGCGAGTGATTGATAACAAAATCAAGCGGTTAAAAGAGCCTTTGGTATTTGGTCCTGTCTATTTGAAGTTACCTTGGCTTGGTAGGAAACGTCAGCTATTATCGGACAAAATTTCGGCGTCCATTTTGTCTACATACAATGCTGTTAAGTTGTGCACGGTTTTTCATACTAGAACCCTTCTTCCCTCCTTTTCTAAAGAGAGGTTGTCCTATTTTCTTAAAAATTTAGTTGTTTATAAATGTAAATGCCGTTGTGACGCGGTATACATAGGACGTACCAATCTAAGGTTGGAAACGAGGGTAGCGTAGCATGTTCCTGCTTTTGTGTGTTCAGGCAGTCCCAGTCAGCCTATAAGAAGAACAACTCAGTCAGTTCATGAGTCTGCAATTGGTCAACATTTGCTGGACAATCATGCTTGTGACAATTTACGCTGACGTGCCTAATCTCTCGACCACAAAGGATCGTTTGGTTGGCAAGGTCGGATTTACTGCTTATAAACTTCAATCTTCCATGAATCTCGTACATTCATAACTGCTCATGGCGTATCAAATGCAAACAAATGACGTCATATATTAAGAAATGGACAAAGTCCGACAATTTATTTATTAAAGACATTTTTATGTTTAACGTTCTTTTTTTTATAGATAAAAGTATTTTCTATGAAAATTTCTCGGACATTCAGGCCGGTAAATGTTATTTAATACTGTTTATTATAAACAGACCATTTACTTAAATACTTGTATCTATAAAAAAGAACGTTAAACATAAAAATGTCTTTAATAAATAAATTGTCGGCGTGGTGTAATGGTTAGCAAGTTTGTGTCGCTAGATCAGTTACGACTGAAAAGTGAGTTCGACCCTCACTAGGTGCCCCATACTTTCGGCCTTGTGCCACATCTAAGCTATGCTTAGAAAATAACTATATATATGAGGCTCAAGAGGCTTAGAGAGTTATGAAATGCGTGATATGAATGTAAGAGGATGTGGTAGAAAGTGAATATGAAGAAAAAAATAGATAAGGACACTTGACTTGAAATTGTTAAGATTGTTATGTTCCGGGAAGCACCCACATGGGAGTTTATTCCAGAAAGTAGCAGTTCTTGAAATGTTTAAGGAATTAACTATAGACATTAAACCGACCAGAAAAGAAAAAACGTATGGAAGTCCCTGTCAATATTTACTTGCCATTATCTTAGAAGCATTCGTTCAGAATGGTGTCAGCATTTAATTTCTCCAGGGATAGCATGACAACATTGTCTTTGACGACCGGTGGTCACTTCTTCCTGTCGAGTGTGATTCTTTTGGAATGGAAGTAGTATTGTCGTTACAAATGACCGACGTTATAAAAGTTTTAATGGAACGGTAGCAAGGTTGGTAAGGATTTCGCTAAGCAAAGAGTTGGCCTGGCAGGAATTCGGCCATAACATAACGGAAGTGTTTGCCTAGAGAATCGACTTCGTGTTATTGTATAGCGTAGCATTAGATATTTCACAGACTAAAGAACACACATTCTCAAAGGAAAGAATAAATGATAAGAAAAATAAATGAGCGGTCATGCTACACTTAGTATAGCATGAGGTCAGATGAAAGAAAATTAGAGTAGAAAGATTATATTGCGCCAAGATTTCAAATTAGCATAGTTTGGTGACCTATACTAAAATTCGATGTTTATATCTGCCCTTTCAGCTGAACTCGAACACACTGAGAAATACGCAACATTAACAAGTATTTTCTGGCCCAATGTAAACGAAGCAAATGCATGCATTGTATTTTGATTCCTTTTTTGCAGTTTATTAAACCATTGTAGGTTATTTCCAGGAAATATTTTAGATTTTAAAAATTTTCTTCTGTTTTTAATAATGATTCAGTGATACAAGGTTTAATAATTAACCCACAGATGGGGGGGAATAGGCGGATTTATGGCTTTTCCAAGGGTATAACGAACTCACCTAGAATTGGAACACTGCTCTCTGATTAACAACCCCCGCAAATCGAAGCTTACAGCAGCTGGTATTCCTAAGCAGTCACCCATCTTGGTACTGATCAGGCTCGGTGTTGCTTAACTTCGGTGAACGTACGGGAACCGATGTTTCAACGTGAGGTGCTCGCAAGCCTCGGCGCATGGTATTTATAATTAATCTTAGCTGTGTATGGCTTAGAGTCAAATACAAGATCCTGTTCATGTGTCAAAGTATGTATATAAGTGTGCACGTCTATTAAAAAGAAATCTGTTGTTTTTTTTAATTCCACTCAAACAAGTCATGACATATAAGTACATACTTCATTAAATATATCTACCCCATTACTCATATGTATGAACGTAATCGTAAATTTAATAACGACGCGTTTTGCCAGAGGCTCCGCTCTCTTTGGCTTCCTCAGTTTAGAATGAAAGAAAGACAAAACTCTATGTGAGAAAAATGCATTAGGATCTCTGAGCATATGTAGAAATCATAAATCAAATTAGATACCTTATAACCTCCAATGGATAACGGCTCAGATTGAGGAATCGGAGAGCCGAGTTCGAATTCCAGTCGAATCCATTACATCCCCTTATGTGCTAATACCCTTGGGAAAGGTATGAATCTTCTTTTTCTCCACTCCCGCTATGGGTAAATAGCAGGACATACCGGGTTCTATAGCCTTGGATCGCAATTGGTCTACCTCAGAAAGAAATGGCAACCTACTGCGGGAAAAAAAATCTGCGTCGTCAGTCATGTATCGAAAGATACATGATTGCCTAAGCGTGTATCACGCATGGCACATAACTGACTGATCACCTCCCAGGCCCAAAGGGGATCAGTCCACCTGTTTATTTGTTGGATAAAAGTGGACATCGAGATTAACACCAAGTTGTGAGAGTTTGTTTCATGCTTGCTGACCTCCTTGCTTGCTGGTGTGGTTGGATTTTAAATCGGCCCACCGAATATATATATATATATATATATATATATATATATATATATATATATATAAAGCTTTTCACTCCAAGCAAGGTGGGAGTGTCACTTATAGAGAGTGGGAGCAAAGAGTAAAGAGGCGTGAAAGAGGAAAGGATGAAAGAAGGACGGGGGAAGAGACCAAGGCATCTGGAGATGTCGATTGACATTGGATCTGAATAGTTGGAGGTTATAGCGATCAGGGAAGCAAGAAACAGGAAGGGAGTTCCACAGATGGGAATGCGAGACGTGAAGCTATTGGAGTAGAAGAAGACGGCTACATATAACCGTTTCGATGGGGAATAGGTGGGACTGAGATACCAACCTAGTGGGACGTTTAAATTCATGCAGTTTGGGCACTAGCGAAAGTAACTCGTCGGAGCAGTTACCGTGAAAGTATTTATAGAAAAGACAGATAGAAACGACGACGGTAGGTCTGTGAGGGGCGACTGTGTATATATATATATATATATATATATATATATATATATATATATATATATATATATATATGAAAAGAAAAAAAAAAGAATTCTCTTATTCCTATATTTGTACAAAAACTCACAACCTTAAAATTTAAAATCCAAACTCAGCGTTGCGACCGCACGTTCCAAAACAATAACACATTTCTCATAGAATTTTTTCGGATAACATCTCAATTTTCGTTGTCCTCTTATTACCGAGAAGTAAAAACAAGAACAAAATCTATTTCCATACCTGATGATGTCTGTAGGAACAGACGAAAGCTTGTAAAAAATTAAAAAGACCTTATGCAACTGGAATTTATAAACAGGGATCATATCATTCATATACAGGTTCGGGGTTGGTGTATCTTTTTGATAGTGTTTGCGAAGATGTATTCTCGCCATTTAAATCATTTATCATATAGTACCGCGCTTAAATTCATAAAGTCTAGGTATCGAAGAGGAAAACTCATCAGAACAATTATCATGAAAGTATTTATAGAAAAGGTACATGGAAAGTATATTACGGTGGTGAGAAAAATGACTGACGTCGAGATGCCAGGTCAGGACAATTAAGATTGCAGATTCTTCGTTGGATTTTATCAAGAATCTCTAAATATATACAATTAGCACCATACCAAATGGGACATTAATATGCAAAGCAAGGACGAATGGTTGACTTGTAAATATGTAAGACAGATTCAGGTGAGAAAAATTGTCTAGTACAACACAGTGAACCAACTTTCCTGGCAGCAGACCTAGCAATTGATTCAATATAATCTTTCCATTTCATGTTAGCCCAAGAAGTCACAAAGAGTCACTCTCTTGGAGGTTAACATCAGCAAGCAAAAGTAGTCTTTCAGATGATTAATAGAAAGCAATTTTTAGGGGGAGGCATTAAAGTTAACATACCATTCCTTGCTTCAGTTAACAGCAGATTTCAGGTCACATTTGAGATCATCTGCTGATCTTACCTTATCAAACTGATCAGACTTTCTAGTATACATGAGTAAATAGTTGTGTCATTAGAATATATACCTAGTTGAGAGCAGAAGCCATCAGGAAGGTCATTGATGAAAATTAGCAACAACGGATAGAGCTATGGAGGATGTCTGCCTTAATTCAAAAAGATCTCGAAGAATGACCATTTAGGAGACTTTCATTTTGTGATTTGATAAGAAAGATTGAATTGGTTCAAAATTTTTTTTTTTAATCTTTAAATGTATAGCAGGAGCACCAGAACATATCCGACAGCTGTATTCGAAGCATGGACGAATGGTAGACTTATAAATATTTAAGATAGATTCTGGAGAGAAAAATTGTTTAGTACAACACAGTGAACCAACTTTCCTAGCACCAAACTTAGCAATTGATTCAATATAATCTTTATAATATCTACGACATATATAACAATTGGAAAAATGCCTTGATTTTCGTCAGCGTAAACAGAAAAAACAACTTATGTTCACAGAAACAAAACTTCATTAATTAGAGAAAAGGTGATTCAAGTTGAGCGTATGGAACGGTTAATTTTTATAACAACTTTTGCCATTATAGGCACCTTTTCAGAAATTTAAGTGTCACACCTTGTTTCTTTACTAATTTAGTAAAATAACCTGACCAAATGATCAAACATCAAAATTTAATGGAGGGAGGGCACCTTGGTCAGACTGGTCAATTGTTTGTGCTATTTTATATCGAAATAAGTTCATAAAAAAAATGAAACATAATATTTTAAAATAATATTTTAAAAAACATATTTTTTAATAATAATAGTTTTTAATAATTTGTTAATGTTTAATAATTTTTAATAATAATAATTAATAATAATTTTTTAATTATAATATTTTAAATAATATTTTAAAAACTTATTTTCATCGGAACAAAACTTCATTAATTAGAGAAAAGGAAATTCAAGTCGAGTGTATGAAACGGTTAATTTTTATTACAAATTTTGCCATTCTAGACACCTTTTCAAAAGTTTAAGTGTCACACCTTGTTTCCTTAGTAATTTAGTAAACATTTAATGGACGGAAGGCTTCTTGGTCAGACTGATCAATTGTTTGTGAGAAAACTATTTTATATTTAAGTGCTACATCTTGTTTCCTTAGTAAAATTTAATGGAGGGAGGCCTTCTTGGTTAGACTAATCAATTGTTTGTGAGAAAGCTATTTTATATCGAAACAATTTCATAATACAGAACGAAACATAATATTTTTTCTGGCTAAAACTTTCGACATATATTTATTAGTATATTGGAAAAAGCAAACATTTATCATAATGCAAAATTCGACGAAAATATTAGAATATTTTTATTGTTTAAGATAATAATGCATTTCACATGAGAGAAACGGATTAAAAGTTTTCCCAACTTTTGCACAATAAAACCCTCAACTTTAGGAACATCATTACCATCAACAGAAAATCAGTAAAAAAATAATCTCTAAAATTCTTAAAGGGTAAAAGTAGACAAACAACATTTCAATAATTTATCGCTCCACTTTGTTATCAGCTGTTGTCGTCAAATCCTCCATTTGATATTTCGCTATAAAAACGAACACGATAAAAACAAGCAAGAAAATCGCTTTCATTTCCTAAGTGATTCATAAGGTTTCTGTCCTGGCCTCAAAACATCTTGATGAAGTGTTTTTTTGAATTTCGAGCATAATTGAATGGGAGAGAAAGAGAAGGAGCAAAATAGAGGAAAAGAGAAAGTGAGGGAGAGAAAGGGGTGAGACAGAAAGAGAGGAAGCTTTTTTCAGGAGCGTCTGAATGTTAGTCACGTGGACAAGTGACTAACAACAACTTGCGCTCTGAGGAATCAACTGATATTGTATTTGCAGTTTGATAATTAGTTCCTCACTAAATTTCATTAGGAAAATATAAGTATTTAATATAGAAATTGAAGAAAGACTACATATTGAGTATTTAACTGGAAATCTGAATTCTTTTATAATTATTTCTCTAACTATTCATACGTATCTTCGCTCATAAATTATCTTTTCGCATGTTTATCATTTTACAACCTGATCACATTAACTATTTTGTTTCTCAGAATATGTCAGAAGTTTCACTAAAACATTCAAAAAACAATTAAATCGCTCAGGTAAGAGAACTTGACAGTAATTATAAAAAACGTTGTGAACCGATCTTGTCTTTTCGAGATAAAAAAATATAATGATCATATTTTTTTTATTTTATTATTATTTTCATTTTATTATTATTTTTATTAGATATATTCATCATGATTTTAAAAGGAAACGGAAATACCTACATTGTTCCTACTGCGCAGACTCATTAACCTGTTTTTGTTGGATAAAATGTGCAATCTACCGGATCTGTATGTAGTTTTCACAAAAAATGGTTTTAAACATAGAATAATATTATTCTAATTTAGTTTTATGATAATTCTTATTTTATTTTACACTTGTAAGTATTGTTAGGTACATATGATTGTATTTGAAATCCTTATGGGTTCGCAATCGCCAAATGTTAGGGTCAATTTGTCTTATATTTGTGCCGAGTGGTCATTTCACAACTGAAATCGACCTTTTGAAGATTTTTGTAGCTGTGCATAATACGCACCCCTAATTCTGATTTTTAGTTTTTAGAAAAAAATGCATATTATACATGGGGAATTATGATACTATTATATTATAACGATCTGGTCCATAGAAATTCTACTATTGACAGG